ATCTGAACTGCCTCGTATTTCTTGATCTGTTGCTGCCAGTATCCGGGAGGCAGCTCCTTCGTCTTGGTCGAGGAGGAAGAGGAGGTCGTCGTAGCGGCGGCCGCCGGTGCAGGCGTTGCGGCCACGTGTGCTTCCCGACATTTTTTCCACACATGTCGGAGGCGAGCGCGTGCAACTGGAAACTCTGTGGCGGCAATCTCCAGAATCGTCCCGTCGTGCAGATCCACAGGCTTGCGGAGCGGCGCGACGACGGCTTCGTCAAATTCCTCGATCGTCTCCCCTAGCTCGGCGAAGATGGCCGTGGTCGTCACGCCGATGTTCGTGATGTACTTGCGCAGGCTCTCGGCTGCGCCCGCCGAAGAGAACAGCGCCTGCAAAGAAGGGTCCATGGGTCAGGCGGGGCGGGCTAGGGCAAAAGAAAAGGAAGGGCTGCGGGCGGCACGTCAACTGCTGCAAAGTGTGTGCTCTCACTCAGACAACCCTCTCTGGCGGTGCGAGGCCGCGTTTTCCGAAAATCCCGTCATAGCGATTCCTCTCCTCAGCTCGAGGATGAACTGGCGCTATCGGTAGACTCGTCATCGGACCGAGCCTGCGCCTGTTCCGTTTTGGCAGACGAGGCTGCCGAGCTCTCCGGAAAGCACTTCCGGCACAGTGCCTTGGAGCCATCGTCGTGGGCTCTAGTGAACTTGGCGTAACCGTACGCCCAACCGCACTTTGCGCGCCATTGCACTGGCGGGAGTGCTGACTCCTCGGGATCGCGAGCGTGCGCCTTGGACTTGCAGACCAGATCGGGTCTGTCCTGTATCGCCTCGAGCCTCTCTGCTATGCCGTCGAGGGTGCCCAGGAGAGAGGAGATCTGCGTGTCCTCCTTGGCGCTGCCGGTCGTGCGGGGCTTCTTGGCCGCATGTGTCGCCGGCTCGTGTACCTGATCCGACGGCTGGACCAAGGTCCACTGTCGTAAGTCCGGCTCCTTGGCGGTGTCCGCGATGGCCGGGCTGGGCGTTGGCGTCGTGGGCGGTGCAGACGGAGCGACCGGGAAGAGGTCCTCGAGCTCAGTTTCTTGAACATATCGTTCAATTGCGCGGCTTCCCCAGCGACCAAGGAGCATAATGGTAGACACCGGTATGCGCATGCGGCAAAGATGTTGTGCGCCCGACACGCGAAGGCAATGACCCCCGAAGCGTTGCACATCGGGCTCGTCCGGGGCGCCTGGTCTGGAAAGACTGACCCCGGCCGACTGCAATACCTCGTGGATCAGCTCGATGGTCTGGGGCTTGCTGAGCGGGAGGCCTGGTGTCGGTGAGAAGAGAAAATCCTGTGGGTCCACGGAGCACTCGTCGGCGATGCGCAGCGCTGCGTGGTACGGGCATATGTTCTCAGGAACCACACCGCAGTAGCAGGAGTGTCTGCGATGCACCAGGCTTCCCACTGTGTCAGTCTTGCTCGAGGCCAGTGTCAACGTGACTTGTTTGGCGGCGGTGTCTACCGCCATGTGCTTCACGCGGAGGTTGGCGAGCTCGATTTCTCTGCACAAGAACCAAGAGCCCAAGACCACCATGCCATGTGCCAGCGAGAAACTCGCGCCCTTGGAGGTAAAGTCAAAGTCCAGGGCGTCGAGGCGGAAGGCGTCCTTGGCCGCGTTGGCACCCATACCTCTCTCGATGGAGCGGATGGCGTCCCGGATCGCCAGCTCAACTGCAGCCGGTGCCGGCATGCCAGTGACCCGAATGTGTTCTTTCCGGGCTCGTGAGAAGTATTGTGCTGAACTGCGATACCCCCCGAAGCGAAAGCTTGCGCCAACCATCTCGATCAGCTCTGGAGTCAATGGGACTGGTTCTTGGCCCCATGCCGAGCAAATTTTGCACCACGTGGTCCATCTTGCGTCCAGAGGAGCCCGGGCGGAGCGAGCATAGATGTTGTCGCGAAAGTCTTGTAGGGCATGTTGTGCGTTGGCCGGCTTGGCAGCAGCTATGGCTCGACTCAGAAGCCCCCCTGCTGAGGTGCGAATTTGCGGCAGGTCATGGCGCGCTGGTGTCGCGGAGCCCTGACCTTGGCCGCGCAGAGCCCCTGTCCGTGCCTCTGCGAGGGAGCGGGGCAACGGATGCTTGGCCTGTTCCAATTGCACTGCGGCCATCTTCGGGTGGTATCCCGAATGCTCAGTCAAAACTGTGATGTGCGCGGCGAGGTTCGGAGAGACCGACTCAATGCGTTGCGCGGCGTCATGGATGCTCTCAATGAGCTCATCGCTCAGCAAGTCCACGACTTCGGTCCCGAGGCCCGCGTCGAAGCACGCGCGAATCAAGTCGTTAAAGCAAGTGAAGTCGTATGTTGACATGGCGCGAGCGGGCGCGCGGCACTCTACCCTAACGGTTTCTGTGACACCTGCAAGACCCAACCTCGAGAGGAGCGCTGCGGCTCCCCGACACCCTGCGTCTCTGACTGGAGGAGTGTACCTGACAGCGTGTCAGCTGGAGGGGGGGGGGGGCGGGGCGGGGCGGGCAAAGGCTGCAAAGAACATGTGTGTCAAGTGTGGCAAACGACATGCAAGACACTCCTATGCAAGCACTCGAGCGAGGCGAAGCGAAGCGAGAGAACGAAACGACGTCCCCCCCTCCCGTGACGGAAGACGAGCGACAGGCCCCCCCCCCCACCCCACGCGGGAGGAAACGACCGAAGCGAAACGTGCGGCCGGCCGAAGCGAGGCGGGGCGCGACACTTGCAGTCACTGACAGCGACAAGCATGAAACTGCACAGGACATGTCATGTGCAAGACCCTCAGCAACACAAGCAGACGTGACATGTCGGCAAACCCTTGCACTGCACTGAGAGGAGAGAGGCAACGAAGAAAGGAGCCCTAATGCGCGAGAGGAGGCACTCCTGGCAGCTCGGCTTCAGCTGGAGAAAGAGAGGCAACGCGAGAAGAGAGCTAGCTTAATTGCGAGAGAAGAGTGGCAGCTCGCACTCCCTCCTGTGGGTTAGGGCCGGGGGAGAGGGTCAGCACAAACTCTCGGTCCTCACTCTTTTTGGCGGCGCGCGGCGAGGCGGCAAAGGGAAGATCTGGCAAAACACTTGTCGGCTCCCGTGGCTTCAGCGGTCGCGAGCTGTGCGTGCGCGATCGCACGGGGAGCAAAAATGGTGCTTATGCACCGTGCCGGCCCTCGTCTGTATGATGGGCCGGTAGCAGCGGCCAAGGCACACAGTCGTTCGAAGGCGTTTCGGGGTTTCACACCCGAGATTACAATAGCCTTGAACATGTGCGTCTGCGTGGCGCGAAGGAGCGGGCTGTGGAGGAACTCCCTGCGGCAACGTCCAGATGCTGTTCGGCTCGTTCTGCAAGACGTTGCAAGGGTCCGGGAAACCGGCCCACGCATCGAGCGTAGCGCGCTCGGCGGCCTCACGCTCGGCTCGCTCTGCTTCGCGCTCGGCCCTTTCTCTGGCGCGGCGCTCTGCTCGCCTCCTCTCCCTATCCACGACGTCCGGTGGCGGGAACTTCGGCGGTGGCAAAGGAGCGTCGTCCGGGTCACCAGCGGCAGCGGTCTGCGGGAGGTCGGCTGACGAGGCAGCCGGCTGCTCCTCCCCACCAGTCTCCTGCGCGGCGCCCGCGTCGTTGTCCGTGGCTGGCTCCCTCGGGGCTGCTGGCATTGCGAGGGCGGGCTGTGCCGGGGCGTCATCGTCGTCCTCGGCCCTAGGCCACGGCTCCACTGCGACCGGCTCGTCGCTGTCCTCCTCCGAGCTTCCTTGCGCCTCCTCGGCTTGCTCACTTGACATAGGCGACTCCGGCACTGGCGGCAAAGCCTTAGTCGTGGGCGCTTGGAGCATGTGGTCCTCGAGGTCCGGCACGATCAAGTCGAGGTAGCCCAGCGAAGCGGCGGGCGGCGGTGGCGACGGCGATGGGACCTTGGCTGTCCCAACTGGCCTGTCCACCATGAGCTCGACGTCCTGGGCTGTCGTGTCCTCGAAAGGCGCCGCGGGTACCACGGGAGGGCGCTTGCCGATATGAGCCACCACTCCAGGCTTAACCGTTCCAGGCGGCGCGGCGGGTGCGGCGGCCGCAGTTGGCTTGGCTGGTGGCGTCTTCTTCGGCACCGTTGCTTTGCCTGTGCGGTTGTCCCGCCGGGGCTGACCCCCGCGCTTGCTGAGGTAGCCGTGGAACGTGTAGTAGCCGGCGGAGGCGTTGCCGAAGGGGTCGTCGTCCGTGCCGTCGTAGGAGGAGGCGTGGTGCTGGTAGAAGACGATGCAACCACAAACGCCGGCTGCGTCGGCGTGGCGGGGTCCTTGGGCTGCGCCATCTTTCCCACACCCTTGCTCGCCTGCTTGCTGGTCGGCCCCAAACCAGGTGCGGGCGAAGGCGAAGGCGAGGGCGTAGCCATCGAAGCGGAAGGGTGGTGCTGCTGTAGAATGGCGTCACGTGCCTGAATCCTGGCGCGGTAATGGCCGTCAAGCCCCATCAGCACCCCATGGGACAGACCCAACATCCGCCGCGACGAGTCCACACCAGCTGCCCGCAAGAAAACGCGGATGTCGTCGTCGCTTAAGCTTCCCAACCCCTGGAAGACCATAGCCGCGGTGCGGAAGTCCGGCTGCTGCGAGGCGGCAGGCGTGTCTCCGGAACTCCCTGCACCTGATCCAGCCATGGCTCAGCGGGGCGAGGCGAAGCTATGCGAAAAACTGAAGGAATCTTCGAGCGGCCAGCAGCTGCGTGTGCACTTGCTGCTGTCGCTCGTACATGTCACTCCGTGCAACAAGTTGCACTACACAACAACTGATCCCACCTGTAGCCTGGTCCGACGGCACGTCCACCACATTTTGAACACCTGTGGAGCTTCGGGGAAGGAATGCTGACTGCCCAAATGAGCGAGATGGAAGGGCGTAACCTGAGGGCTCCGAAGAAGTGTGGATGCTCAGCGCGGGAAGAGGCTCCACGGACCCTCCTGCAAATTGCCAACTTGCGAACGGAAGTACATTGGACTCGCTGCACATAGGCGGTTCTTTCACCGAAGCGCTATGTTCTGCATGCAAGCGGTCAAGTATTGAGTCTTTTCAGTCCTGCGCTAGGCCCGACTGCATCCGTCACATCAGCAACTGCATCGGAAGCCACACCTGCAGCAAGACGCTGCGAACATCCAAGAGAACAGCGCCAGCATAACAGCGGCTGCCAGCGGTGGCCTGCAGCTTCAGCCACAGGGGCCGGGAAGACTGCACCTATGTGTTGACCGAGCTCGCAAGAGAGTTTGGGGCACGGTTGCTCTTGCCACGATATCGCAATCACGGTACTCTTGGTCCCCCAACTCGGCGAAGCCGGCTCGTGCTGTGCCGCCGTCGGCTCCGGGTTTGCAGAGGCCTGTAGCTTTCTTCGCAGGTGAGCACTGCTGGGCGGTGCTCTGTTACCTCGCCTCGTCAGAACTGGGTGCAGGTGCCGGCGATTCAGAAGTAAATGCTGTTTCCGCCTTCAGCACAACGCACTGAAACTCGAGCGCCTTCTTCAGCAAAATGTCAGCTCTGAAATGCGGCTTGGCTACTGGAGCCTGCTGGGCATCTCCAGAACCTTGAGCAGATGAGCTGGGATCGACATCGGGACCTTGCGACATGGCAACAGTTTCGAGTAGCAAGATCCTCCTTGTTCATTGGCCTGTCGCAAGAGGGCTTGGAACCTGCAACGTGCAGCTTACAACTGCGTCGTCAGGATCAAGACAGCTTCCACCTGGCAACTAAGCCTAACTAAACACGCCGAAACTCCTGGTCGTCCGTCGCCAGTCCCTGACTCCGCAGCAAAGCCTCTGCATCCAGCGTCAAGCCTGCAGGTCCGCAGCATATCTGCGACTCGCAATGGCTGCACTGCTTGACAACACCGCTTCGAGCTTCCCCAGGTCACATCTAGGAGCAACGCTAGATTCAGCGACAGCAGCCGCTCGGCGGGCATCCTGTGCCGGAGACTTTGAGACCAAATGCTCCTCTTGACTGGTCCCTGCCTCTGCATCAGCACCTTCTGCTGCAGAAGGTTCGTCGGAAGAGGGTGGTGCCAATTCGGCAAGCAGCTCCTCCGGAACGACAGTCTGCACCACAAGCAGATGGCCATGCGTGACTTCTGATCCTTGTCCAGGGTGTCGTACAGAGCTGAAGCCCCGGCTTCTTGAGCTGGGAGTTCCTGGAAAAACAACGACAATCACATACTACATGCATCTACATGCCACAAGCATAGCACCCCGAAAGCCTGGGTGACACCTTTGGACTCTTCGACCGTGGCCTGAAGCGAGTGAGGCCATGCCGTGGGTCCAAGACTGACACGCCGGTGGCCTCCAGGATCTCCATCATGTTTTCTTCCGATTGGGAGAACCCCATCAACATTGCAGACTTGCCTACCGGACGAAGGCTTCAGCTCGACGTCTCAGGTCACCGACTTGCCAAGCTGCCTTTGGCGGCGCTTCCCTCCGCCCCCTGAAGCTCTGCCTGGCATACTTTTCTTGTAACTAGTGGTGCTCGTGGCGCCGACTGTCAGAGGCACAGCATGGCAAAGGGCCTGCTGCGTTGACTGCTCCGTCTCCTCCTGAGTAATGGCATCGCCGACTTCGGTGCCAGCCTGCCAAATTCATCCTACGGTTGGCAAAGGTGGCACCGCAGCTTACACAAGACATGTGTCGGGCAACCCTTTACGTTTATCCGCCGATCCCGCTTGAGCGGTGGGCGGCGTGGTGGTCTCAGGGTTATCTTGCACGCGGCTGCATGCTGAATTCCTGGTCTTTCAGTTCTCCCCCCCCCCCCCGAGGTCGGGAGCTTTCTTTTATTCTGTTCGTGTCGCACCCTAGAACCGGGTGACAACTGGGAGCAAAGGAGAGTATCCAGCGCATATGCTCTATGGTGTAGCAGCGCTGGGGCACAGTCTGATTTTTGTGCAAGGGCGCTTGCCGCCGGGCCGGGACGGCAGGTCGAGCCGCACTACGCAAACGCGGACCCAGGCCGCGGGCGGGCGGGATGCTGGATGCGGCCCGTGATCACCAAATGAGGGTGCATGTTTAAGACATGCGATGAACTGGGATCGTCAGCAGAATCGCCCTATGAGGGGGCGGCTTTACGAAATATGATGAACCGCGATCGCCAAATAGGGGCAGAGGGGGCAAGCTTCAGAACCGTGATTGACAGGGTTCGCCAAATGAGAGGTGGGTTTAAGAAATGTGATGAACCGGGATCGCTAAAGGAGGGGCCGGGATTAAGAAATGTGATGAATCCCAATCGCCAAAGGAAGGGGCTCATTCAAGACATGACCGCCAAAGCAGGGGTCGGATTTAAGAAATGTGATCAACCATGATCGCCAAATCAGGGGCGTGTTTGACAAACTGCGATCAACCGTGTTTGTCAAAGGAGGGGGCGGGCCGCTGCAGCTGGTCCTGCCGCTGCCGCTGATGCTGGTCCTGCCGCTGAAGATAAGTGATCAACCGAGATCGCTAAAGAAAAGGACAAAAATTAAGATATGTGATCAACCGGGTTCGTCAAGAGGGGACGGGTTTTCGCAAATCGGATTCGCTTAGTGGACAGGTGGGTGTAAGAAAATGTGAGCTCCCCACAATCCCCAAATGAGGGGCGTGTGTTTGAACACGTGATCAACCGGGATGGTGTGGGTTTTAAGAAACTTGATCAATCGGGATTGCCAAACGGGGGGGGGGGCGTTTCAGAAACGTGATCAACCGGGATCGCCAAATGAGGGGGTGCGTTTAAGATATGTGTTCCACTGGGATTGCCAATGGAGGGCGCGGGTTCTGCAAACGTGATGAATCGGAATCGCCAAACGAGAAGGCGGGTTAAACCGGGATCGGAAAATGATGGGGCCCGTTTAAGATATACGATGATCCGGATTTGCCAGTTTGTCCCACCCGTCCAAATCGCCGAATGCGGGAACGGGTTTAGCAAAACCGGGATAGCCTAATCCCCAAACGAGGGCGCGGGCGCAAAAAGGTGATCAAGTGAGATCGCCAAATGAGGGGGGGTGTTTAAGATACGTGATGAACCGGAATCGCCAAATGAGGGGATTGGCTCAAGATATGCGCCAAATGCGGCGATCCGGGGGGTGAGCACCGGGGCTGCGGGCCAAGACCTCAGAGAGTATCTCTCACTCTCCGTCTTAGATCCTCTGCAAAGTCTTTGCTTGCCTGCGCCAGTTCGCCGGTCGCTTCCTGAATGCAGTGACTGCTGACGGATGCTGCCGGCTAACGTGCAGGCAACATGGAGTATGCCTTGCCTTTGCGTGGGCTTCACTTTTCGCGCCAGAATCCTGATTGCTTTCCATCTCAAGCTGCTGAGACCTAGCTCAAACCGTGACGGGTGGGGATGGAGGTTGGATGGGTCGTCTGCTGTGTGGTCATCCAGCCAGCGTGGTGAAAGAGTCCTCAGTAGATCCTGTTGTTGCTGCAAGCTCGTCATCACCATAACCGAAAGCAGGCACCTGCTTCCAAAGTATGGCTCCGCACGCGACTTCAAGTTGCATCTCTTGTGTGATTACAGAGACTAACCGTAACATGGATGCATGGCAGGACCCGATCAGCTGAATCATCTTTGGAGCTGATGTCAACCTGTGCGGCGGATGCGAGGAATCGGCTTTCCGTGTCTCTATATAGGCCTCTATACATGTTATTGGCGACACTTGCGACATAATTTTAAGCATTGCAATGCCATATTCGCCGCCTGTAAGAATTCAGAGCTGCCCATGAAAGTCAATGCCTTTCGGAGGCCACCATCCTGGATTGCACACATCGCGGTTGGAGATTCGTCGCTCTGCAGAAAGCTAAGTTGGGCCATGGAAGCACAACAGCAATCTCACATGGAGTTCGCCACGTCCTCAGCTTCTCCTTCGGCCATCATGTCCCCGATGTCCTGCCCAGCAGTCGACAACTGCCTTCCGCACAAGACGGCCATTGCGCATACTTGTGCTGCGCACGCTATTCACCGGGGGCCCCATCACCCCTCCCCGCTGTGAGGGTAGATATAGTCAGGTGCGGCGTCATGACAATCGAACTTTGTCGGCCCTGACGTGATTTGAGCGAGCCCTCAGCCCTCGAGTGCTGAACCCCTATCAGGCCACAGCTGAGGTATTGGTCCTGTGTCATCTCCGCCATGATGTCACCCAAGCCTTTGGTGCCACCTTGCTGGGCCACTTGCATGACACAAGGGGATGTGACGCGCGATGTGCTCCGCCTCTGGCTGCACGCATCATGCACTGACAGCTGTCCACAGCACTCTCTGGTCCAGACTGAGGTCTTCAGGAACTTCAGTTTGGCTTCCGGCCTCGCATTGCATCTGAGCCTATGGGAGACTCTGACTTTGCTCCTGATAGCATTCTGATCGCAAAAGGGCGAAAGAAGTGCCTCAGCCGACTCTTTGGAGCCTTTCGAGTCTCTCGACTTTCGTCGGGGCTTCCTCCAGGTATGTCCTGCCCTCTCCTTCTGGAGGAGGCCTGAGCACAACAGCACCGCACACATGCTGCGATTGAAGTCAAGAACGGGGAGCAGACATTCTTTTGGAGAATCAATCAGCTCCTGGACAGCAGGACTCCCGAGTTGAGATGCTTCGCATTGCTTCGCTTCGCTTGCCGCGTAAATGTCAAGGCAAGCGGCATGGAATTGCACAAGCTTTTTCACCTCAGCTCGCCGTGATTCTTGACTTACCTTCACACCAGACATCATGAGCAATCTTATCCGTCTTCCGAGCTGCCGTTTTGTTGCAATTGAAAACCACTTTCACCTGTGCGAAGAAACGTCAGTGGCCAGATGTCATCTGCGGAAACCACACAGTTCTTGGCTCCGGCCTGGCGTGTTCTGGAGCAGACGTCTTTGATCTGAACCGGCAAGACTCTGTGTTGGCTTGACGACCACCAGTAGCCCTCGGCTTTGAAAGTGACTTCACGCGAGGAAGTACCGCGTTGAAGACAAACGACAAGGAGGCTGGCCTGGTTGCCAGGCTTCACCCAATCGGGCAGTTGCTGAATCAGCTCCTTTGCCTAGCCGACATGCTCTCTCGTGAATGTAGCATCAGCATTGATGCCCGTGCCTTCTGCTGGAAGGGCTGGAGCAGCCAGTCCTCCTGCAATAGCTCCGCAGGAACGCCATGCCCAGCTAAACTTCACCTACTCTGAGCCTGCTTTTGGAGGAAATGCTCGAATGAGACCATCTTCCAACAGCTGGCATCCTGCAAGCCAGGACAGAGAAAGTCAGAGTCACACAACCAGGAAAAAACGTTCAGAAATTGTGCCAAGCAAATGTGGGTTGCAAACGCTGTTGGGACACTTGCCTGCACGAAGGTGACCTTAATCAGCACAAGCACTGAACAAGCCTCTGAGCCGTCTGGCAAAGGAGAACAGGAGGTAAGCTGCAGCAAAAAAACACGAATTCCCCAAGGTGTCCACCCAAATCCAAGCTGCAAGTCATCGCAAAACGACTACAATCCAGCTCTCTCGCAGGGCAGCGAAAATGCGGCTGAGTTGCCGTGACTTGCCTGGCCGACATGTCCACTACAGTGATCGTGACATCGCAGAACTGCTTCTGCGAGTTGGACCACCACCTGCACACATAGGCCAAGCAGCTAGATCCTCACAACACAGCCGAACCGCCGCTGCCTTGCACGCTCATTGACCTTGTTGGAAAACGGAAGTGCAACTCACGAGAATGATACCAGCGGGATGTCGGCAGTAGCCAACTCTGCTGCATGAGACTGAGCCCTCCCACTTTGATCCAGTCCGGCAAGTCCTGCGGCGTGTCTCGCTTGCCCCAAGACAGAGCTCCGCAAAAAACGGAGGCACGAGGCCGATTCGTGCATTGATGCGGTGGATTCAGAAGATTCACATGTCGGGAATGACGCAGTTAGGCACGTGCACTGGAATTTACCCAATACACAGAACACCAAACATTCTTAAACCTGAAGCGCCTAAACTCCCTGAAGCCCTACACGCTGAAAGCCCTTATCACCGTGTTTCAATGATGAAATTGACTTTTCTGATTTTTCGCTAATCGTTGTGATCCCTTCAATCAATATTGGGCTAAACAACCGATATTTACAATCTCTTATCAGCATGAACCAAAACTGACTTCTGGGTTACGAAGAAAACCTTCTTTAGTAACCCCGCAGCTGGGTTTGGCTTTGGGTTTCGGGCATCCGGTTGCTTCGGATTGATGCTAGATGCCATCCTCCATGTAGGTAAATGTGAATGGATTTGGGTTCAATGCGGGTCACGTGGTAGCAGGATTCCTAAACCACAGCTGCGGCCTTAACATGCCTTCACAACCCGAATCTGCGAGTCTCTGAGCGCTAGCTAGCAGCGACAATACTCGGCACCCACTTGTAACCCACCGTTCCACTTGTTGAAATGATGTCGGGATCCAAAAACGACCGTTTCGAGCATTACAGTGCAAAGGTCAAGTCCCAAAACGGGCGACTGTTAGGCAGATTCCTTCCGCCCTCGCCTGGGCCCCCGTCACACCATTCCTGTGCCTACTGCTATTGTTGATACCCCCTGTGGCCATACCAGTGGGGGACCAGGATTACCCGATGCCTGACAACAAACAAAATTATTGGGCTTGGGCTCAACAGAAGCACTGAACTCTTGCTGCAGCCACCCAGACGATCCCTTGTTGCACAAGCCACCATTTTGGGCTGCTGGGATGACCAGGAAGCCTAGAAAATTCAGGGGGTGCTGGAAAAGGCCTTCCCAAAGACGTGTCTCCTGAAATTGACTAGTTTCATGCGCTGGTGGTGGGGCAGATAGCTCTTGAGGCTGTTTACCGACCATAAACCTAGAAAATCCAAGTGCCCTGGAAAAAGCATGTCTTGAAGCATCTCTTTTTGTAACCTCGATCATTTTTGGGCTTTTGTCGGGTTTCCACCTTCAAGGAAGAGGAGAGGCGAGAAACCAAACCGACCTCGGAGGTAGAAGATAGGGATAGGGTTCAGAGTTCAAAGCACAAGCCTTTTTAGTATGGAGCCTTCCTTTGTCTCGGAATGGACCATATCGGTGGCTCCCGCAGCAAAGACAGCAGAAAAGACGGCCACAACGCGAACTTCCATGCCTGGAATCGGTACAAAGCCATTGATCAATTTTTGGGACGCATGTGGGCCTTTGAGGGTTTGGGGGAAAACACAAACAAACAGCATGATGGCTTATAGTTAAAATTTACTCCCTCTAACCACTTAGAATACTACCAGTCTTGGCCCCGGCCTCGCGGCCGAGAACTCTAAGTTTGGACCAGGCGCTGGGCTCGCTGGGTAAAAGAAGCGAGCATGGCTTTTAGTGGTTCAGGGGCCTTAAGCCCTTCGAAGCTGACGCTCGAGGGATTTGGAGAGAATGCACAAGCTCACAAGCAAACAACAACATGTACACAAGGTGTGTGTGTGTGTGTTTTTGTTTGTTTGTTTGTTTGTTTGTTGGCTTGCTTGCTTGGTTGTTTGTTTGGTTGTTTGCTTGTTTGCTTGTCTGCTTGTCTGCTTGCTTGCTTGGTTGCTTGCTTGCTTGCTTGCTTGCTTGGTTGCTTGCTTGCTTGCTTGCTTGCTTGTTTGTTTGTTTGTTTGTGTGTGGGTGTGTGGGTGTGTGTGTGTGTGCGTGTGTGTGTGTGTGCGTGTGTGCGTGTGGGTGTGTGGGTGTGTGTGTGTGTGTGTGTGTGTGTGTGTGTGTGGGGGGGGGGGTGGGTGGGTGGGTGGGTGGGTGCGTGCGTGCGTGCGTG